CCGACCTTTCATGTGCCCAGCCAGATATCTTAGTCATGCTACAGTTATTTAAAGCTCTCATTTGTATAAAAAAAAATATATATATATATATCTCCAGCATTCATATTTACGAATAAATGAGATAAATGGGGAACAAGGATGACCACTTTAGATGCTATTTAACATCCATTCTCTTTTCTTTCTATAATAGTGACCTCTACTTTCCTTGGGAACATTACCTCCTTCCCTGCTCCCAGACGTGTGGGAAGAGATAGCACCACCCAGCTTCATTCCCAGAGTCACAGTGACAGTCAGGAGGTTTAATTAGAACTAAGGAGATACAGCTGGGGACTTCTGCTTACAATTATGCTCTTTCTGCTGGACGTGAATCTACGAGGATGTACTTGATAGCTTCAATCATCCATTCTCCCCATTTCTCCACCTTACTGTATGTCCTGAAGAAAACTGGTCTGCACAGTGTAAGTTCCCTCTAGCTTCTGGTTGAGTTTAGACAGTGAAGAGTAGGAGCAAGAGTACAGCCTTTGGGTCGTCTTTGCAGGGTCTCAGAGTAAGACTCACATGAAGGAAAGTAGAACCATGGTTGGGAGAGGGACTGGGTCCTGGCCCCACTGGCTGACTGGCTGATTCTGGTCACATCCAAGACTATTATATACACTGATTCTTTAGTTACACGAGCCAGGACATTTCCTTTTTTTGTTTTTTTTTTTTTTTTTTTTTTCCTCAAAACATTTTGAGTTTGGGACTTCAAACACATGAAACAGTCTTAATGAAAGTGTAACTAAAAATATAGCTCTGAAGTGAAGATGCATGGATCTCTGATCCTGAGGACTCTAAATCTGACCTAAATACAGTTCCAGTCTCCATAAGGCCCCATCCTGCAGCAGATCCTGTTTTGAGATTTCTCTGAGATTTTGTCTCTCTTATACATGATGTGTAGCCTTACAATATTCACCATCTTTACTCAAGTTAATGTGAGTCAGTCTGTTCCTTGGACAAAGTGAATGTAATGAAACAGTTCCCATCTTACAGATAGGGAAATGGAGGCCAAGATATATGAAGAGACTTCATGAAAGGCAAACCTGAATGTGGCAGGCAGGTCTCTGGCCAAGGATCTTTCCATGCTACCTCTGTTTCCTTATGTCCCCTTTCCCTCTTTCCCTATGCTTTCCCCTTCCCCTTTGCCCTGAATTTTTGTGGTCCAGTTGCTCTAGGAGGGTAGGTCTTGTCACATTATCTCAGCACCTGCATGAGAAGGTTCCAGCTGTCAGAGATGGAAAGGCATGGACTTGTTTTTTTCTGAGTTTCCTTCTACTTCTATATGCTCATTTGGCATTCAGCACGTGCTACTCTATGAAAGTTTGGGGGATGTTTTATAATGTTGCTGAACTTTATTTAGCTTCCCAAGTATTTATGACTTGCCTTCAAGATGAGAGTGAGTTTAGCTGGTGTCCCTGATTCATCTTGGAAAAATCTATAGTACCTAGCACAGTATCTGGCTCGCATTAGATAATCAGTAAATATCCATTGACAAGATTGACTAAAAGAATCTTATATTAGGCAAAACGCTGGCTAAGCTGCTGTAACAAAATTACAGTGGCTTCAACATGACAGAAGTTTATTTTTCTCTCACTGCCCAGAGGCGTGCAGGCAGTCCAGGGTGGGTAGGCAGCTCTGTTCTATGAAAGTCATCCAAGGACACCTTGCCCTGCTATCCTCTAGAGAGTGTCTTTCTACTCATGGTCAGAGCTGGTTCACCAGTACATTCACATTCTGGCCTAAGGAAAGGGGGAAAGGGAAAGTGAAGGGAAAGAAGGTAACTTCCTTATAAAGATGTGATTCAAATTTGCACATATTACCTCTGCTTGCTTCTCATTGGCTATATCACTGTCACGTGCTCATGCTAGCTTGCAAGTGATACCAGGAAATATAAAATCTGAATGGGCAGCCACATGTTCTAATAAACCTATGGACCATATTGCTAAAAGAAAGGCAAGGATGGGCATGATGGCTCATACCTGTAACCACAGTACTTTGGGAGGCCGAGGTAGGAGCATGGCTTGAAGCCAGGAATTCAAGACCTGCCTGAGCAACATGGAGAGATCTTGTCTCTACAGAAAATTTTTAAAAATTAGTTGGGCATGGTGGTGCACACATGTGGTCCCGGCTACTCAGAAGTCTGAGGCAGGAGGATCACTTGAGCCCAGGGGGTCAAGGCGTGATAGTGCCACTGTACTCCAGCCTGGGTGACAAAGAAAGAGAGAAAGAGAGATGAGAGATAAGGAGCTATTTGACCCTGGTCAAAACTAAAAGACTGATGATACCAAGTGGGTGAAAATATAATGTAAAATGGTACATCTATCTTACAGAATTCTTTGATCATTCTTCTCCTAGGTATCTACTGAAAAGTAATAAAAACATATGTCCATAAGTAGCTGGGCATGGTGGCTCATGCCTGTGATCCCAGTACTTTGGGAGGCCAAGGTGGGCGGATCACCTGAAATCAGGAGTCCAAGACTAGCCTGGCCAACAATGGCAAAACCCCAACTCTACTAAAAATACAAAATTAACCAGGCATGTTGGTGTGTGCCTGTAATCCCAGCTATTCAGGAGGCTGAGGCAAGAGAAAAGTTTGAATCCAGAAGGTGGAGGTTGTGGTGAGCCAAGATCGTGCCATTGCACTCCAGCCTGGGCAACAGAGCAAGACTCTATCTTGCTCTGTTGTGTACATACACACACACGTGTATATATATATGTATATATCCACATATGTATACGTATATATACATATGTGTATACATTATGTATATGTACACATATGTATATACATTACATATGTGTATATGGGGTGTGTGTATGTGTGTGTATATATGTATATATGTGTGTGTATATATATGTGTGTGTGTGTGTATATGTCCAAGAGTAAGGAAAACATGTTACTGAAGAAAGACTGGTCCAATAATGTTCATAGAAGCCTTATTCGTAATTAGCCAAAAAGTAGAAACAAACCAAATGTCCATCAACAGAATAATGTTTAAACATGTTGTGGGATATTCATACTGGAATACTGGAAGGCTACTCCGCAATAAAAAGGAATGAATTCCTGATACATGAAACAACCAGGGCTGATTTACTCATTTGGCATAGTAGGCACAGTTCTGGGGCCTGTGAAAATAAACTTTTAGGTGGAAGAAAATGTTTGAGGTGGAAGAAATTGTCATGTTCATCTTTATAGCAACATAATCATAAGACATAATTTTTGATTATATAAATAGTGTGTGTGCATAAAATGAAGGGGCTCATGAAGTGCTTAGGGCCCACAGAAATCATAATGCAGCCCTACAAACAAGAATAAATATTAAAACATGTGTTAAGCCAAACACCTGAGACATGAAAGAGTACATGCTGTACTCTTAAATAGAATTTGACAACAGGCAAAACTATGTTGATAGTGACCAGAAAGTGATTGCCTCTGGAGAGGGGAGAGATTGTCAAGAAGGGAATGAAGGCACTTTCAGGGATGGCAGACATGCTCTATATCTTATTTTTGGTGGTGGTTATTTAGGTGTATATACAATCTTCTAAGATTGTGGAACAGAACCTTTAGGATCTGTACATTTTAATGTATATTAATTATGCCACAATTTTAAACAAAAGGGGAAGAATAGACAGTAGGGTATAATGAATAATTTCTGTGACAGATTTGATAAATGAATTACTAGGACAGTGTTTGCTGACAAGGTTTAACATTGCATTCTTGTAGAAAAGCTTTAGGAACTCAAAGGGAAGAGTCCAGGTGCTGTGATAGGCCAGTGGGGAATGAACCACACTGCTCTGTATCAATCAAGCTTTTTTATTGCCAATAACAGAATATATCTGGTAAGCTTACACAGCATAGGAATGTATCAGAAGAGTAACAGAAGTACTGTGTTCACAACAGTCTCTGAAAACAGACAGGAATTAAGGCAGGAATTTAAGACAAGATCAGACCATCAGATGGCGGGTGGATCATATGATGCCATAATCCTGTACCCCTGCCCCAACAAACCAACATATATCTCAGGCTTCACTGCATCTTTTCATTACTCCTCGAAAACTGAAAACCTATGTGTGAGCCTCTGGTTGGCTGAGCCTAAGCAAAGCCTACATATAAAAACTCCCATGGAGATGGAAGAGGGAATATGTTTCATTGTCTTCTAGATGGGAGATGGGGCCCCAAATGACCAATGTTCCCAGCACAACCTGAACAATCTGAAATTATTCAGATTTCTGCTTGTCATTCTAACCTCTGTTCAGGACTTCCAAGATCCAGGACAGGCCGAGTGTAGATAGCTGTGTTCCAAACCACTGATCTGGTTTAGGAAGCCTGAATCACAGGTGTGGAAGGTCACCCGGGTTCCACCATCTAGAAGACCGAATTAGGCCAGGACCTGGGCAGGGAGACCAGTTATACTGGGGAGATATGATGAGAGCTTGAATTACATGGGAGAAATATTTGTAAGGCAGATGGGATAACAGCACTTGATGAGTCTGTAGTGTGGAAAGGCTAGAAAAAAAAAGGAATCAAAAGAGATAGTCTGATTTCTGACTTGACAGGGCAGAAGAAGGTGTGTGTGTGTGTGTGCGTATGTGTGTGTATGTGTATGTAGGGATGGTGACACACAAGAGAGGCTAGGAATAGGTTTGTTTTATTCCTGTTTGGGGTGGTTGGGTGGGCAGGGTTAAGTTTTTGACACGGTGAATTTGAGATGATAGCCAATATACAATTGACATTCCAGTTTGGGGGCCATTGAAGATCAAGTCTGGCAAGTCTATTAGCTGAGCGCAGCAGGTGAGGGAAAACGCGGGGAGAGGGTCCTTGCAGATTCCTGACTTAGGAAGGGTCGCGGCTCCGCGCACGTGCTCTCAGAGTCACCTTCCCCGCGCCTGTGAAGCTGCAGGGAGTTTGTCCCCAGATCCCGCCCCTATGGGCGGGGCGCGGCAGCGTCGCCGCGAGGCCACCCGGAAGACCAAGCCGGGTAGGCACTGGCTCCGTCGCCTCCAACGCCCCGGGCCGACAAGGGAAGGTGGGATGCTCTGATGGCCGGGCCTGCGGCGCTGAGCGCGGCGGCGGCTGCTCTGGTGGCCGCCCTGCTTCTGCTGCGTCGTGAGGACCCGGGGCCGGGGGCTGGCCCCAGGTAACCCCTCCGCGTATGGGACCGAGCTGGGCCCGGTCTCCTGGCCAGGCCAGGGATACCGTGGGGGATGCCCAGTGGTGCCAGCAGCTTGTGGCACCTGGGCTCACCCTCCAGCTCGGGCCCCTTCCAATGGGTCGGCTGGCTCAGGTACGGGGGATGGCCCGGGAGCCGCGCCCCGCACGTGAGTCAGCACTTTCCCCAGGGCCTGGACTGCGGAGAACAATATCCTCTTCCCGAACAGATAAACAGCCCTTGTTCCTTGGGGTAAAGACGGGCAGTCCCCTGACACTTTAAGATCGGCACCTGTCGATGTTATTTCCTCAGCATGGCCGAAACAGAAGCACTGTCGAAGCTTCGAGAAGACTTCAGGATGCAGAATAAATCCGTCTTTATTTTGGGCGCCAGCGGAGAAACCGGCAGAGCGCTCTTAAAGGAAATCCTGGAGCAGGGCCTATTTTCCAAAGTCACGCTCATTGGCCGGAGGAAGCTCACCTTCAACGAGGAAGCATATAAAAATGTGGTGGGTATTTGAGCTGGGGCTCAAACGGACCCCCAGTGATTCTGCGAGGTGAACATATTTCACGCCTAAAGGCTAAATACTGCCCTGCCAGTAGTGGGGGTAGTGAGAGGCCATCAAAACTTGGCCAAGATTGGTCTGTGAGGGTCCCTCCCAGAAGTCCGACTCCTGGATGGTAGCCCAGGTGTGCCTTCCTCCCGCTCATTGTGTGTTCTTGGGCAAAGCCCTTCTCTCCATCTGCAACCCTATAAAACTGGATCTGAGTTGTAATGGGGGTGAGGCTGGTGAGACAGATGAGCACTGTTTTCAGGGTCATACAAGCTGGCTTCTAGAGGCAGCCCTGGTGACCTTGAGAATTTTCTCAGCCACTTTGCTGATTTTGTCAACCTGCGCACTTCACACTAATATTGTCAGGGATTCTGAAACTGCTTTGCAGAGTGAGAAAGGTCTATGGCAGTGAAAGGTGGGGTTATTCACTTACAAGAATTGGCCCTGCCTGACTTCCCAGACTTGTGTCTGTAAATCGAATATTCCCTTCACTCTAAGTTAAACCTTTTTTTTTTTTTTTTTGAGACAGAGTCTCACTCTGTCGCCCAGGCTGGAGTGCAGTGGCGCGATCTCGGCTCACCGCAAGCTCCGCCTCCTAGGTTCAAGCGATTCTCCTGCCTCAGCCTCCCAAGTAGCTGGGACTACAGGCACCCACCACCACACCCGGCTAATTTTTTTTTTTTTTTTTTTTTTGTATTTTTAGTAGAGACGGGGTTTCACCGTGTTAGCCAGGATGGTCTCGATCTCCTGACCTCGTCATCCGCCCGCCTGGGCCTCCCAAAGTGCTGGGATTACAATGAAACCCTATTTTTCTTTAGTGTCATAGGCAGTGCCAGAAAAATTCTTTTCAGAGCTGACGGTAAGGATGGAAACCAACATTTTATCTGAATCCCTGCATGACAGGAATTTATCATGCTTTGTTTTTAAAGTTATACAGCAAACTTATAAGGTTAGATGGAGGTTCTTAAACTTCTGTGTGCATGAGAATTAAGGTGGGTGCTTGTTAAAAGTGCACATTCTGATTCAGAGCTATTGGTGTGGGATGTAGGAATATGCCTTTTTGTCAAGCACTCCCTGACTAATTATAATGCAGATGGTTCATGGATTGGATTGAAGGAAAGATTATCACCCCCATTTTACAGCTGGGAAAAAAAAAAAAAAAGCTGTAGTGTCTGATGAATAACTTGCCCACAATTACATGCCTAGTGTGTAGCAAGCCCAGGATTTGCAAGTAGGTCTTCTTTAAGATGCCAAACGCCATCTCTTCCCCTCACATCATACCTCAGTGGTCTCCTTGCTGGAAAGCTACACACAGTTCTTTTATTTTTCCAGAGAGAGATTATAATCGAACCTGACTTCAGAAATCTGGATCACCCCTAGTCCTCTTATAGAGACTGTGGACATATGTGTGTGTTGTTGATTTTCCATTGAGGCTGATGGCTTTTTGGTTGGAGAAAAGGAATTTGTAAAATTTGATATTAAGTGGACAGGCCTATCAGTAATGTTCTGTAACTTAGTCTTTAAATCTAGGGGGATTTTTGGTCTGTTGTTTAAATAACACGATACTACATACAACTGTGTCCTTGCCTAGAACCAAGAAGTGGTGGACTTTGAAAAGCTGGAGGACTACGCTTCTGCCTTTCAAGGTCATGATGTTGGATTCTGTTGCCTGGGTACCACCAGAGCGAAAGCCGGCGCGGTAAGGAAGGCATATGCTCTTTTCCTTTTTTGCTGGCCAGTGATATCAAGGATTCTTTTCTTGCTCGCTCTTCTTCTTTGTGCCTGTTGCAATGCTTAAATGTGAATAAACCCTTATTGTTTAAGATTCTATATGCTGCACTAACCTTGCTATTCTTTTCATAATACTGATAAGTTCATCTTTCAAAGTAATCCTTGAGTTCAGGCCCCAGTGCTGGAGACATTGTAAATATTTACATGATTTTGCCTATTGTGAATATCGCTATCACTACATCCCCTGACTAAGGGAAACCATGATGTCTGAGTAAAACTAATTGGTTTATGCTGTTAACAATCAGCTTTTTTTCCCATTACCAAATGTTTTAAATTTGAAATGTTCTCTCTCACTTGAGTGATTTGCTCCAACCTATTTTCATGTCAAGCTTTAAACTTCTGGAATAGAACATCAGAACACAGGCACGATTCAACCAGCCTCCAGCGATGATTCAGCCTTCAGCGATGATTCAACCCCAGTGATGATTCAGTATTTACTGACGCAAAACTCTTTTAACACACATTTTATTTTCTTTTTAATGGTGTTCCAAATTGAGTCAGCTCCTGTCCAGAAGTCATAGTTTACTGCATAGTTAGAAGTCAGAACTGACTACATGGATTCTGGGCAAATATTAATGCAGGTACATCTTATTTAATTTATACTTTGACTATAGTTTATGCCTCTGGCAGAATTTACATGCTGGAGCTGAACAAACTTGCACATTCTGCATATGTATCCCAGAACTTAAAGTAAAATTTAAAAATATATAATAATAAACACATAAATAAAACAGAAGTGAAAAAGGTAAATAAATAAATAAAGTCGGTTAGCCCTGGCACAGTGGTTCATGCCTGTAATCCCAGAAAAAAAAAAAAAAAATATATATATATATATATGTCTATGACTGCCGTGGGAACTCTCCTTAGGTTTATAAGCCAGGCCCTTTCACCTGAATCATTAAGGGAGCATATAGTGAAGAACTATTCATTTATACCAACCGAGTAGTTAGATTCAGCTGTATTTCTCTGGGCCTCCTTGTGATGCAAAGAGTAATTCTATGTGTGCTTTCAATCAAGATGTATTTCCATATCTTCTGCAGTTCTGCATATCTATCCTGGAACACGGCTGGGATTTGAACTCTGTGATGGGAACTATGGATTACAGAGAAGTTTGACTTTCCCAGGAAATGTCACATTATGTCTCCTAGAAAGGGTCATGTTCCTGCTTAACAGTGGGTGCAGTCTTTTCTGTCCCAGGCACAGTCACAAGCGGTGTGCCCTCCAAAAGCATTGAAAAACTTTTGTTCCAGGACACTGCAGGTTTGTCTCAAGTGCCAACCTGGTTTTGGTGGTGAGTCAGCAAAACAAAATGCTGCATTAGGCATAGAAGGGTTAATTTTCATGACATAAGGCAAATCTCATTATAGGGTGTGCCAGGGAAAAGTCTAAACTGCTTTCCGTGTTCAGACTGGGTAATGCAATTTTAATCAGAGGAATTGTGTGTCTTTACTATCCAGAATTTTCTATTTTAATGGGGTTGGTTCTCCACCTCTCAGGCTATTCGATACCTTTCATTCTCCTTTAAAATCAATTTGGAAAGATAAAAGTAATTAACTAGTAAGCGAGAATAGACTAATGAGCCTAGACTATTCAACTAGCTTAGAAATGAATTAGGACTTAAATGATTTAAGAGGTTAGTGGTGGAAAACAAGCTGGCACTTATACCAGAAAAGTGTTTTGTTTTTGTTTTGGGGGGCTTTAAAAAAGAACCAATTTGGACTAGGTACAATATAAAGTTGGGAGGTTGTGATAACTTTAGCCGATATGAAAGAGGTGACAGTTCGTAAGTGGCTAAGTAATAATAGTGTTTTAAGTGGGGGTTGTAGATTTCCAAGCTCATCCCAGCTAGTGTTCTGGGTCAGCAGCTCTTTTTGTAGAAAAGAGTTTGCTGGGTGGTTTATTGTATAAGTACTACAAAGCTAGTGGCAAACCTAGTGCGCTTCACTAGGGATTTTGTAACTGGAACCCCATATATTGCCTTAGCAATATATGGGTTTCCAGCAGAGAAACTTCAAGAAATTCAGCGTTTTTGTCTCAGTATTGAGATCCTCTGGGTAGGTGGCTTATTTCTCTGTGATGTTCAGTGTATTAGTTTGCTAGGGTTGCCATAACCCAAGTAGCTTAAACAACAGAAATATATTGTCTCACAGTTCTGGAGGCTAGAAGTCTGAGATCCAGGTCTCAGCAGGCTGGTCAGTGCTCTGAGGCTGAGCCCTTGAGTTTCAAGGCTCTCTCCTTGTCTTGTAGCCGGTAGCCTTCTCTTTGTGTCTGTTTACGTGGTGTTTTCCCTTAATACCTGTGTCTATGTCCACATTTTTCCTTTTTATAAGAACACTAGTCATACTGGATTAGGGACCACCCTATTTAGTATGATCTCAACTAATTACATCTGCAACGAACTTATTTCCAAATAAGGTCATATTCTGAGGTACTGGGGGTTAGGAGTTCAACATATACATTTTGGGGGGATATAATCCAACTCACAAAATTCAGTCTACTCAGGTTTCTATTGACACTGGGTCTAGGAAAAGGTCTATTACCTTTCTTCAGCTGTTTGGAAGACTATTTCCTTTAGTAGTAGCTGGGTAGATGCTAATTTTCCTTTTCATATTAACAGAACATAGTTGTTCAATCAATGTACTGGCTCCCTGACTTGGCCCTGATCCAGATCTACTGGATCAGAATATCTGAATTTGGAAGCTTGGAATCTGTCTTTTTAGCAGGCTCCTTGGGAGATCCTGATGCAGTCAACCCTGTCCTTCTTGTTGAACCTGCTTTCAAGAAGCAGTGGGGTGTATTAATTCTCCTCACTTGCTGGTTATCTGGGTACTGTGGTCCTAGACAACCTTCATCTTGCTTTACTGAGCAACTTGTTTGCTAGTGAAGATTGAAATAGTCTTCGAAAACCAGATCTGTATTATCCTGGAGTGAAGCATAAAAACTTACAGATGCCAGTGAGAATAGTTCATTTCCCCTTATTTGTATCAAAAGAAGGATTTGATTAGTGAATTCAAGGTGGTTCGATGTGGTTTCACCTTTTCATTTGTTTCTTCACCTGGTAGTAGCAGGCTCTAGAAGTCCAGGTTCCTGTTTTCTGTTGAGTGGATGATGCCATTAATGTGATTAATGTGGTTACTGGGACATTTATTAGGCATCTCATGGCCCATCTCATTAGAATCTCATGGCTTCTGATTCGAATGATCTGCTCTTCTAATTCAGAGGTTTGCATTACAGTCTGTGGGCCAAATAGAGCCTGTCACCTGTTTTTATACAGCCTGTAAGCTAAGAATGTCTTTATATTTTTAAATGGTTAAAAAATTCAAAAGAATAATGTCATACCATGTGAAAATATAAAAACTTCAAATTTTAGCCTTTATACATAAAGTAGTGTTGGGACACAGCCATGCTCATTACTTTATGTATTCTCTGTGGCTGCTTTTGTGCTATTAATATAATGGCAGAGCTATATAGTTGCAACAGAGGCCTGCAAAGCTAAAAATAGTTACTGTCTGATCCCTTACAGGAAAAGTTTGTCCACCCTTGTTCTAATCTCTGTTGTTTTATTTGATGTCTAGGAGGGGGCTTGTGAAGTGGCGAGGTCCTAGCTGGTTCAAGGGACCTAGATCATAGGCCCTGTTTGGATGCCAAGTAGCTATGGAGTCTAGAGTTTGCTGGTTAGCTTTTGGAGGCCACTGCCTCCTTGTCTGTCAGAGGGAGGTGACCAGTGAACCCACTTTCCTACTATAAAATTCTTAAACATTTTTCCTTTTTTTTTGAGACAGAGTCTCATTCCATCACCCAGGCTGGAGTGCAGTTGTATGATTTCAGCTCACTGCAGCAGTGCGATTTCGGTCACTGCAGCCTCAACCTACGCAATCCTCCCACCTCAGCCTCCAAAGCAGCTGGGACCATAGGCACGCGCCACCATGACTGGCTAATTTTTGCATTTTTTTTTTTTTTTCTGTAGAGACAGGGTTTTGCCATGCTTCCCACCCAGGGTGGTCTTGAACTCCTGGGTTCATGTGATCTGCTTGCCTCGGCCTCCCAAGATGCTGGGATTACCATGAGCCACTGCACCCGGCCTGCAAAATTCTTTGACTCTATGAAACACAGAAGAAAGAATGCCCCAATTGGAAAACTTTTTCAAGAACATATAGATTGACCCAGGAATCCTCACTATCTGCTTGATTTTTTTTATCCAGAGGTCCTTCTCTAACCAAGATCTTTCTCCTACCATTGAACATCAAATATAGAGACACCAGGACACAAACAAAAGTGCCTCAGATTATACCATTTAGTGTTTGTCAGCATCTTTGTTTTCTGATCTAATTTATAGAGTTGGATTGAAAAGGGAGTGAAGGAGAAAGAACCTGAAGCCGAAATATGGCAGAGTGGGACCTTTACAGAATGATAGACCCACCCTTCTTGGAAAAAGATCCCCATGATTTACTTTTTTAGTAAATGAATTAATTTTTTAGAGACAGGGTCTCACTGTGTTGCCAAGGCTAGACTCAAATTCCTGGGATCAAGCGATCTTCCTGCCTCAGCCTGGTGAGTTGCTGGGACCACAGACCATCGTGCCTGGCCCCATGACCTTCTTGAGTCGTTTAAATGTGCTCACTTGTCCTGTCAGTCAGCACTGAAATACTATAACTTGTTAGGATGAGTTGTTCTGAAGCCAGAGTGTTGTTTTTAGTTTTTAGGCACTGGTAAAGAAGAAATACTTAGTAGCTTTGGATTTTAGTAAGACTTAAGAGTCGTTGGAGAATTTGTTGCCTTTGATGTTCTGGAGCGTATGAGGATATCTCTACTGAGCATAGTATACTGTGTTTATTCTTTTTGAGAGGGTGCTGGGAAAGGGCTTTATAGTGGCAACTTATTTAATTAATTCCTTTTTCTAGAAGGGACTCGGATTCCTAGCTTAGAGCAGGACACACTGGCTATGGAATCATAAAGACAGAATGACATATGGACTTAATACTCTCAGAAGAGACGTCTGTCCACATGGTTAGGGAAACTAAGTACAGTTTTTCTAAAAATTGTGTTTCTGAGATATGAAGTAGCTTGTTTTAGTTATTTTTTCTGTTGTTTTTTAAATCAAGCTATTGGAAAACAACAAAGGGCATGAATAAGATTTTTAGAGATCGCTTCTTTCATCTGTAAATAGAATCTTCCTCACTCCAGAGAAAACTGGTGTGTGATACCTCCTAGTCAGTCATCAGGACCCACGCTTCAGTTTGATTTTTAAGTCTTTGAAAGCTGTTGACCCTTTTGCTTTTGAGTTTCATTCACCAGCTAAAAGGCCACGCCATCAGGGTGACGGAAGTGAAATTCAAAATTTAGTGTGCTTGGAAAAACGCGTATTTATAATCAGCTTGAAGGCTCAGAGGATTTGTGAAATCGTTTTGGATTAACAGCCATTGATTGCTAATAAAACAATATTTAGCTTTGTCCAGAGAACAGCAATGGAGAAAGGTATGGGCATCTTGTCAACAGGCCCCATTGAGCAGGGATGATGGGCTAAGTGTGGGGGTCTCTGCAGCAGCGTGGGTGCTCGTCCTTCAAGGAGCGGTTGTCCGTTGTTAGCGAGGCGGGTGAAAGGAAGGACGCCAGAGTCTGATGGCTGGGGTAGTATTGATGTGCCTTAGCTGACTAATCAGATTGAAAAAGTCCCATGGTATTTATGTCACTTTAATTTTCATCAAACAATTGGAGACGACAGCACTCTATTAAGGAGAGGTTGATCCAGAACTAAAGCCAAATAAATTAGGGTCTCAGTTTAATCAAATTATCCTTTTACTGGCTCTGGATTAAGTGAGAGAGACAGCGTCGGTCCGGAGACTTGTGATTGGCTGAATCTTTCCCTTATTTTTAAAGAAGCGGATGAAAGAAAAAGTATTTTAACAGACGACTATAATAATCCCTCCAATCAATCTTGCTAAAACAACAACAACAAAAAACTGAATTTATTTCACCAGTCAACTGTGTCATTTTGTTGTGAATAACTAACCTGTCATTAAAATCAGAGTTCTGGTGAACTGGCATGAGGGGAAGAAACAGATGTGGAAGAAAAATTTAGTGTTTTAGCATTTTTCTATGTAGTTTTGGGCTGTTTCTCTTGGCACACTTTCAGCACATCTAAAGTCTCAATTTGGAGATGGCTCTGAGGGTAATCACCTCTCTTAGGATGTGCTGAGTATTAAAATTGGTTTGCTTTACACTGATTTTAAAAGTAACAGCATGAATTTGAGTCTGTATATAGACAGCTTGGCAAGTCCGTTGTTTAGGATTGAATGTCAAAGTATACAACAAAAAGTATACAAAAGGAGATGGTGATGACTTGTGAGTAAAGAGGTAAGTTTACTTACCCATAAACTAGTTTACCCATAAACTAAGGTAGAAAAAGTAAGGCAGAAAAATAACACTGTCCTCCAGGTGGTGGATATAGTTAAAAATGTACTTGTGAGTGATGGGAAAGGAGGATGAGGAAAGCTTTTATAGTAATGGTAATGTTCTATTTCTTGATCTGGGAACTGGTGGCAGAGCATGTTCAGTTTATGAAAATTTATTGAGCTCTATATTTATGTTTACTTTTATGATACACTTCCATGCAAAGTTAAAAAATCTGCATGGGCCTATTGTTTTAAAATTGAAGTCTATATTAGTTTCCTATTGCTGCTTTAGTAAATTCCTCAAATTTAGCAGCCTAAGACAATACAAATTTATCATCTTAGAAGTCTGACATGGGTTTCCCTGAGATAAAATCAAGGTGTTGACAGAGCTGCATTCCTTTCTGGGAGGCTGTAGGAGAGAAACCATTTCCATACCTTTTTCAGCTTCTAGAGGCTGCCCCTCATTCCTTGGCCTGTGGTCCCCTACCCATCCTCAAGGCCAGCAACGTGGTAGCCAAGCCCTTCTTACGCTGCATCACTCCAACGTCCTCTTCTGCCTCGCTCTTTTACTTTTAAGGGCCCTTGTGATTACATTGGGCCCACGTGGATAATTCAGACTAATCTCTCTGTTTCAAGGTCAGCTGATTAGCACCCTAATTCTAAACACTGAATTTCTAAAACACTGAATTTCTCTTCCACATCTATTTCTACCCCTCATGCCAGTTCACTAGAACTCTGATTTTAATAATGGGTTCATTACAACAAAATTACACAGTTGACTAGTGAAATAAATTCAGTTTGTTGTTGTTGTTGTTGTTTTAGCATGATTCATCTTGCTTCTGCCTAAATACCATTTGCGATGGAATTCCCCCTTGTCATGTAACCTTACATATTCACAAAGATTAGGACGTGGGCATCTCTAAAGGACCATTATTCTGCCTACCATAATTACAGATTAGTCATTTTCATCAGCAAGAGAGTAGGTGATAAAAAGGAACATGGGTACAGTGAAAAGAGCACTGCTCAGAGTCCAGAATCTGCAGTCTGCTCTCAGCTCTCCCACTTCCCAGCTAGCAGTTCACCCACCCACTGGACCTTGGTTCCCCTCTACATCATGAGGGGACTGGATGTGAGATTTCCTAAGGTACCTTTTAACATTCTATGAAAGATACACATCACCCTACCAAATACAACATTTAGAATCAGTAACTACTGCGGAGCAAATTTTTAATTAAAAAAGAAATCAGGCCGGGCGTGGTGGCTCACGCCTATAATCCCAGCACCTTGGAAGACCGAGGCAGGCGGATCATCTGAGGTCAGGAGTTCAAGACCAGCCTGTCTAACGCAATGAAACCGTTTCTACTAAAATACAAAAATTAGCCAGACACAGTGGCGTGTGTCTATAATCCCAGCTACTTGGGAAGCTGAGGCAGGAGAATTGCTTGAACTCAGGAGGCAGAGGTTGTGGTGAGTGGCGCTCACGCCACTGCCCTCCAGCCTGGGCGACAGAGCAAGACTCTGTCTCAATCAATCAATCAATCACTGCGGCAGTAGTCCAGTCTTCAGATTTGGAATTCCTACTACTCTAAGACCTCATTCTGTAATTGTGACTACCTGTGAAGTTCAGTTTCAACAGACTTTAGACTTCTCTTTAGCTGTCTTGGGTTTGAAGATGCCAGAATTTATAGTGGTCTCAAGAGACTGTGACTCCATGGAATTCCCTTTTCTGGGTAAAGGTGCATGTTTTTCAGCTAGGCCCTGGAAGTGAGTCTATATTTTGTTATTTGTGTCATTCTCTTCCCTCCCCCTTTTATTGCCACTTAGTTCTGTTTTTTTCTGACCGGATTTACCTTTTCTCTGCTTTCATTGGATTTTTGTTCATTCATTTTTAGAGCATCTACCATATGCTGGACATGTGCTGATGCTGAGAGATGAATTAAGAAAAAAGACTCAGCCACCGCCCTCACTGGACTGAATCTAGCTAGATTGGGTGTCTCCAAACATTTTTGATCAGAGACCCATTAATAAAAAAATCTGAGGATACATACCTTACTAATATGTGAGGTACGTTGTAAAGCATACATGAAAATTGGGAATTAAATAGACTTTGTTCTCTTAGTGCCTGGGAAGTGTCCTCACCCATAGTCGGAGACCCTACCACATTAGATTGACACAGAACACAGACAGGAGTGTAAAGTTGTAAAGTTATTAAGACAAAAAAAAAATGTCTGGCTTAAAAGTAGTTTCTCAGCCTGATCTTATTGTTTCCTTTGTTCTTTGCAGATTTGTTTGGTGTCTATGTTTCAGTGTCATTGTCCTTGTTTCCTTATTGCGGTCCAGCCTTGCTGCTAAAGCTGCTTTGTCTATCCAGAGGACCAGACCTGGAGCCTTTCCCAGGGTCTAAGCCTGACTTTCATGTATTGCTTGGACACATTTTATTTAGATCTCTATCCCTCCAGGCCTCCCAGCCTGCTACCCAAGCCAAGTAGTAATCTTGAAGATGAACTTGCTGCTTTTTGGAAATAACTCATGTTCTTTTCCCCTTTAGGAGGGATTTGTTCGTGTTGACCGAGATTATGTGCTGAAGTCTGCAGAGCTGGCAAAAGCTGGAGGGTGCAAACATTTCAACTTGGTATCCTCTAAAGGAGCTGATAAATCAAGCAATTTTTTATATCTACAAGTTAAGGTTTGTGCAAGTTTCTGTCTTTCATACACTTTGGAGAAGCCTACCTATTTGGCAGTACTAAAGAATATAAAATATTATATAATACAAAAAACATCAATACATCATATTATGCATTTGTATGGCTATGGGACTGCAGGAATATATTTAGTAAACAGGAATGATTTGAAAAATAATTTCCAATGTCTTCCTCTCTATTAATTATCCAGCAATAAATGGAATGAGATATGGTGTCTCCAGCCTTGACTGTCAGCATGGCAACTTAGCATTGGAAGAGACTTGGAGGCAGTGATTCTTAAACTTTTCTGTCAGTTTCTCCAATGATTGAGAGGAAAGAAGAGCTTTTATTTGTCTAGAGATTTGGAGACATCTATCCTGAAGCAGTATTCTAGTTACAAGACTGGAGTGCAGTGGCGTGATCTTGGCTCACTGCAGCCTCTTTCCCCCCAAGTAGCTGGGACTACAGGTATGAGCCACCATGCTTGGCTAATTTTTGTATTTTTGGTAGAGATGGGGTTTCGCCATGTTGCCCAGGCTGGTCTCAAACTCCTGAGTTCAAGCGATCCGCCCATCTCAGCCTCTCAAAGTGCTGGGATTACAGGTGGGAGCCACTGTGTCTGGCCTCAACTTTCTTAAAAGTCTTACGTTTTATCTTTTAAAAATTTATGCACATTTTGCTATTCTTAGTGCTATACATATCCCTGTTTATTTTAATTTAAAAGGTTTCTATTAACCTACCTTTGAGTTAAACTGATGCTGCTGGAAGATAGGTATGGCTTTGTCTTTGTGTGCCTCCAGTGCACCCCAGGTGCCCACAGTTTAAGCGGCAGAGCCACAGAGGTCATTCAGTCATAGACTTTTCCTATGTGAAGTCCCTTTACAGAAGTTCATCTCGCTTCTGCTTAAATATCTCCAGCACTACAGAGATTACTATCTTATTAGCCAACTTTTTCTATTTTGGGTCAGATCTACTTATCCAAAAGTCTTTACCTTGAAGTGAAATTTATTGCTATGTAAATGCTAATTGTTATCAGTTCTGCCTTTTAAAATAACCAAAACAAGTCCAGTCTTTCTTTTGCATTGTAGTTTTTAAGACGTTTGGAGATTATGGCCTCCTTAATCGTATGTTTCCCAGGCATCACACCTTTAAGTCCTTGCACCATTCTTTATAGGTTCCTGTGTCTAGCTCCTTCATGACTGCATCACTTTGCTGAGGGTGAACTTTGCAGTGATATTATACTGGAACTGCAGTGGGAGTACTATTCACGCTCTGGACACTATGTGCTTTTAAAAATAAGATATAAGATTGTTACTATTTTACCAAACATCCTTATTATGTTGTTGGCCCATGAGCAGCCTGTAATAATAAAAATTTCCAGATTTTTTTCACATGGCTAATAGCTGAGCCATATCTCACCCATCCTAAAATAGTATTTTGAACCAGATGAAGATCAGTGAGCCACCAATGAAATTACATGAAGAATGGAAAAGTTTCCACTTAATTGTCAGAGTTTAGAACAATTCTTAAAAGGAAAAAAGTCTGGTTTTCTTTTTTTTAGAATCAGTCTTGCTCTGTCACCCAGGTTGAAGTTCAGTGGCATGGTCACAGATCACTACAACCTCAAATTCCTGGGCTCAAGCGATCTCCAGTCTAAACCTCCCGAGTAGCTGGGACTACAGGCATGAGGCACCAGGCCCAACTTGTTTTTCAAAATACTGACACATGTGGGTTCTGAGAAAGGTTACCAAATAGGATTTTTGCTCTCATTAGCAAGATCAACATTTATACCTTTTAGGAAAGAAAATATACGTAAGATATTTCCTCGTTGTTAAAGATAAAGGCATTACTACTGACTCATTGGGTTATTATTCAACCAGATTTTTAAAAAAATAGCTAACATTAAATGATCCAGGCATTCTGAGGGCTTTTATGTGCATTTGTGTGGAAACAGATACTGTGATATTAAGACCACCAGCTGTTGACTGGGCACGGTGGCTCACGCCTGTAATTCCAACACTTTGGGAGGCCGAAACGGGAAGATCACTTGAGGCTGAGAGTTTGAAACCAGTCTGGGAAACATGGCAAAACCCTGTCTGTACTAAAAATACAAAAATTAACTGGCACAGTGGCGTACGCCTTTAATCCCAGCTACTCGGGAGGCTGAGGCAGGAGAATTGCGTGAACCCAGGAGGCAGAAGCTGCAGTGAACCGAGATCACATCACTGGACTCCAGCATGGGGGACAGAGTGAGACTCTGTCTCAAAAACAAAACAAAACAAAAAATAACAACAAAAAGAACACCAGCTATTAAGCGGCAAAGCTAGAGTTTGAACCAGGCTGTATGATTCCAAGGCCTATGCCGCTAGCCATTATGTAATGAATAGCCTTTGTCACTAATACATGCAAAAGGGACCCAGCAGAGATTGGACCAAGACAGAGCCTCAGCAAATATTAAGGCCAATACAAAAGAAAGACACTTCTGATTTCACTGCAATTGGCCTATATTACCTGCAGTCTGGGATTATGAATTAGATTAAAAAAGGACAGAAATGACAACCAAATGATCCGGCCCAGAATGACGCTGAACAATATGTAATTGCTTTTACAATTTGGAAAGATTATCTTTCCGAAATAATCCTTCAACTACTGTGTATAACATTCCTAGTATTTATTGCTTATTTTCTCAGTCTCCATGTGTGTATGAACTCCCCCCTCCCACCCAATTTTAGAAACTCCTTTATTCTTTAGGAACATTTATTCTACTCAATGAAGTTTCCATTGCATTCATTCATGGTGGGCCAGCTCTGGGGGCCTGGATCAATCATGTGCTTTATGGGCACTCTGCTGGTGCTGTGGGGAGACATGTCAGGATGTGGAGCCCAGAGTACTGGATGGGTTTCATGTCCTCTGTTCTCAGGGTTGATAAGCTTTGGTTTCCTCATCTGTTCAGGGTGAAGGTACACTTTCCAGACATGTGACATTTTAATATTGGGTATCATCCTTGACCTCAAGGAGTTTGTAATCTGCTTATACTGGGGGATTCCCAAAGACACCACTAAGTTTGGTAATCCACTAGAAAGTTTCATAGGACTCAGGATATAGTCATACTCGCAGCTAAAACTTATCGCATTGAAAGGATATAGAGCAAAATCTGCAAAGGGAAAAGGTGTGTGGGGTGAAGTCTGGAGGAAAGGAGGTACGAGCTTCCAAGAGGCCTCCCCATAGAGCTTGCACAGGATGTGCTTAATTTCTCCAGCGATGAATGTTTTCTGCCAGAGAAACTCATCTGAACCTAGGAATGCAGGGTTTTTATGGGAGCCAGTTACATAGGCACATTGGCCTAGCAAAATCGCAGCCCTCCAGAAGAAAGGCAAGTTTTCAGCATAAACCACATTGTTTGTACAGACAGTTTAGGCATAGTACATTACCCTTATCAGATAGGGAATGGTGGGAACACACCCAAAATCCAAGTTTGCAAGCACAAGCCAGGGGCCAACCTTGCAACAAGTCTTTCTAAGGATAGCAGTCTCAGCCTGCTATGGTATCTCTTTTATGCACATTGCTAATAGAGACAAAACAAATCTTTTAAAAAGCTAAAAAATGTGTGTCCACATAAAAACTTGTGTATGACTGTTCATAGCAGCATTATTTACAATAGCCAAAGAATGGGAACAACCTAGATGGCCATCGACTGATGAATAGATGAATAAAATGAGATATATTCATGCAATAGAATATTATTCAGCTATAAAAAGAAATGATACACAGTACAACATGGGTGAACCTTGAAAATATTATGCTAAGTGTGAGGAAACAGTCACAAAAGGCCATAACTTATATGATTCCATTTATATGAAATGCCCAGAATAGGCAAATCCATAGAGATAGAAGATAGACTAGTGGTTGACTAGGTCCCCAGAGAATAGGGTATGGGGAGTGACTGCTAATGATATGGGATTTCTTTTCAGTGTGATGAAATATTTTAAAACTTAGATTGTGATGAAGGTTGCACAGTTCTGTGTATATACTAAAAACCACCTATTAAAAAAAAAAGAATGGCCAAGCGCGGTGGCTTACGCCTGTAATTCCAGCACTTTAGGAGGCTTAGGCGGGTGGATCACTTGAGGTCTGGAGTTCGAGACCAGTCTGGCCAACATGGTGAAACCCCATCACTACTAAAAATACAAAAATTAGCCAGGCATAATGGCGGATGCTTGTAATCCCAGCTACTCGGGAGGCTGAGGCAGGAGAACTGCTTGAACCCGGAAGGTGGAGGTTGCAGTGAGACGAGATCACACCCTTGCACTCCAGCCTGGGCAACATGGTGAGACTCCATCACAAAATAAATACATTAATTAATTAATTAATTTAAAAATTGGCCGGGCATGGTGGCTCAAGCCTGTAATCCCAGCACTTTGGGAGGCCGAGGTGGGCGGATCACGAGGTCAGGAGATCGAGACCATCCTGGCTAACACGGTGAAACCCCGTCCCATCTCTACTAAAAACACAAAAAATTAGCCGGGCGTGGTGGTGGGCGCCTGTAGTCCCAGCTACTTGGGACGCTGAGGCAGGAGAATGGCATGAACCCAGGAGCCGGAGGTTGCAGGGAGCCGAGATAGCGCCACTGCACTCCAGTCTGGGCGACAAAGCAAGACTCCGTCTCAAAAAAAAAAAAAAAAAAAAATTTAAAAAAAGAAAAAGATATTTAAAAATAGCTACTTAAACGTCTGCGATGAGACAGGTTAAGTGCCAGTTAGGTGGTACACATAGACCAAGAAGGAGGCATGCATGACTGTGTGGTAGTTCACAGGCCTTTGGAAGTGCCTGTGGGCTAAGCTCCTCAGGCACTTTGTTTCCAGAGATGCCTGCCATGAAAATGCATGCTTTATTTAACAAATTAGGTTTAAAGCATCATCTAGATATAATCTGTCTTGAAATTTCGTGGGGTTTAAGAAGTGAGTAATATGGTGGGTCTATGGTTTCTGACCCACTGGAACTACCTATAAACCAAAAAAAGGTTAGTGTCTGCCAGCATGCAACATGAATTCTGGACTAAACAAGAGGATATTCTTTTATGGTTGTACTAACATATTACTTACCCTCTCTGAATCTGTTTTAATATTAATAAAGTGAGAGGACTGACTATACAGCCATTCACTCATTTAGTGGATCTTTTAAATGCAAGACTACGTATCAGGATTAAATGATCTCTTCCTTAATTTCCCAGACTCCTTGGAACCTAAAATTCTAGATAAGGATATTTTGAGTATTGAGACCTGCAAAAGCAGATTACCTTCAAAACCACAAATTATTCTCTTTTAAACTTCATACAGGTGAGCTGGTCTTGATTAAATATTAAAAATGTGGTTTTTCTTAATAGGGAGAAGTGGAAGCCAAGGTTGAAGAATTAAAATTTGATCGTTACTCTGTATTTAGGCCTGGGTAAGTATAGTATTTATACTGAAGGAGAGTATGCCACTGTAGGTTAATCCCTAGATGCTAATTTTTCATTTGGAAAGGCTGACAACTGAAATATCTAAGATATGAAAGACATTGGCTAGAGGTGTATTGCTTCTCTGAAGGACACACCTTTTTGCTTAGAAAGAAAGGGTAGATGTTGGGTCCCGCTCCAGAATAGTCCAGAACTTCCTAGACAGCATTTGCTGCCTTCTTAAATCCTCTTCATGCACCAAATAAAACATTAAATCTACTCTATTAGTCTGCTCGGGTTGCCACAACAGGATACCACGCAGGTTGGGTGGCTTAAACAACAGAAATGTATTTTCACACAGTCTGAAGATTGGAAGTCCAAGATCAAGGTGCCGTCAGGGTTGGTGTCTGGTGAGGCCTCTTTTCCTGGCTGGCAGACAGCCCACCTTCTGGCAGTGTCCTCACATGGCCTTTCTTCTTTATGTATGCAGAGAGAGAGACCTCTGATGTCTCTTCCTCTTATGAGGACCCCAGTCCCATCACACTAGTCCTGTTCCATCCTTAAGACTTCATTTAACTTTAATTACTTCCCTTAGTGCCTTATCTTCATAGAGACACATTGGGGGTTAGGGCTTCAACATTAGAATTTTGAGGGGATATAGTTTGGTCCATAATGCCCACTGTGGTCTCAGTGCAATTTACCACCTCTTCTTCTGCTTTTCTTTTTTTTTTTTTTTTTTTATTTTAGAGTTCTGTTATGTGATAGGCAAGAGTCTCGCCCAGGTGAATGGTTGGTTAGAAAGTTCTTTGGCTCCTTACCAGAATCTTGGGCTAGTGGGCAATCTGTGCCCTTGGTGACTGTGGTTAGAGCAATGCTGAACAATGTGGTGAGACCAAGCGACAAGCAGATGGAACTGCTGGAGAACAAGGCCATCCATGACCTGGGGAAAGCACATGGCTCTCTCAAGCCATGACCACACAGGAGAAATGGTTGTTGTCAGTCTTAACACCCATCACCAAATCAGTAATTTCAGGGTCTAAAAAAAGTCCGCATATTTTAGCTTTATTGTTTTATTATCCTCAGGCATCCATTCCAATCAAGAAATGATGGTGCTCTGAATCAGTGGTTCAGAGCCTGGTTATACATATAGATCCTCAGCGAGCTTTGGAAAAATAAAGATGTTAGCCGTATCTCAAACTTGAATCAAAATTTCTGGGGTGTGGGCAGAATAATCTGTAATTTTCTTTGTTTATACTTCCCCTGATGCCACTGGTTGGGGGTCCTGCTTTGAAATGCTTGTCTGCAGAGTCACAGCAGCCGGGAAAACCTTGTGACCATGCAAATGAGCTCTGCTCTAAAATTGTTGACATTCACATCTCTGACTTACAAAAGTGCTAATTCCCTATGTGTAATTGTGTAAGTAAACATTGTGCCTTTACTACTTCTTTATGTAATAGAAATTATATACCTAAGCTTATATAATACATGGGGAGGATTAAATAAAGGAATAAAGATAAATTGACAACTCCTGGGTGCCTCTTAGATTGCTTGAAAATGCCCATGTAGTAGTGGTAATATGCAGCATTTCAGCCTATGGGGTGATATAATAGCAGCTAATATTTACCAAATGCTTGCTAAGTACCAGTCTTTACATGTATTATCTGTGCTTTAAACCCCTTATAAACCATCCTTATAAAGTGATACTATCATGATCTTCATATCTTAGATGGGGAAATGAGATTACTGTGGTTAAGTGCCTTGCTCAAGAGTCCAAAGCTGAAGAACTGAAGCAAAGAAACGGCAGAGTCAGGATTCTAACCCAGGTCTGCCTGATCCCACAGATTCCATAGATGGTGTTTTTAAGCACCCTGCAAGAGCACTCTGTTCCTGTGTATTTCCGGGTAGTTCCAGTTGATGGTTACTACGTGTTGTGGATGAACAAAATTGAAATATTTGGGTTTCTCCTTTGTTCCAGTGATTAATCACTAAATGTTCACATAGCCAGTAAAATTCTATGCCACCAAACTTTAAAGTGCGCTCATGCTGCTGCACTTTAAAAATTAAGGCAAAGGAAGATGCAGAAGGAAGGGTCAAAGCCAAGAGGCACACACATTGCTGATTTCCATCATGGAACAAAAGATGTTAGTGTAACGTAACATCTGCACCAGCGAAGCAAAGTGATTCGAGTGATTCAGTCAATTTTTCCAAGGCCCACTGTATGCCAAGTACATTTCAAGCTTCAGTATACACTGGAGGATAAAGGCCATTCCCTTTAATTTGTGGTGTATATCCTTAGAAGGGAGTAGACATTCCCAATGTCAGTCACCCAAAAAAGAGGCATATTTTAGGGCAGGGTGGGATCTTGAAATGTGAGCTTTAGAAGGAAATGAAATATCTTCCTCCTGCCAGGTGGGGTTCCCTGGGAGCTGAACTTGGAAGAGCCCAAGTGTGTAGTTTTGGTGGGGAGAAAGCATGAGCTGAGGATATTTTGAGGCCTCTGGGCTCCGAAAGCAGTTAAATCCAGTGACCTATTTTAAGTTATTCTCCTTATATTATTTCCTTACTCAAAAACCTTCGAGCAGGTTTCATTGAACATGTTATTCTGGTCTCAGTAGTGATGTGGGATAATGAGGAAGGGTCTGTGTTCACCTTTGGAGTAGAGAGAAAAGCAGCCCTCTCTGGAGCTCTGCATTGTGGTGAGATAACGAACTAAGGAACAAGACTCTGGCCCAATCGCTCCTCCACAATGGGTGTTAACTTGTTTTATCGACAGCACTGAATGGACTGGGTGTTCCATTTAGTACTAAGGGATTCAGGAAGTTTTCCACCAAAGGTGACACAGACAGAAAAAATTTATGTTGGAACGATGAAGGGAAAAGTTGGATGGGACCAGGTAATCAAAAGTGTTGAATTCATTAATTCATTCAGCAAATGCTTATTCAGTGCCTCCTATGTGCCACTGAACACATAGGCACTGGGGATGCATCCATGAGCAATGACTCCAACTCAAGACAGCCAGCAGCTATTCTGGCAATGTCCTAGATTGTAAGAAAACTTCAAAATTAATATTTGGGCTGGGCGCGGTGGATCACGCCTGTAATTTCAGGACTTTGGGAAGCCGAGGTGGATCACTTGAGGTCAGGAGTTCAAGACCAGCCTGACCAACATGCTGAAACCCTGTCACTACTAAAAATATAAAAATTAGCCAGGCATGGTGATGAGCGCCTGTAATCCCAGCTACTCAGGAGGCTGAGGCAGGAGAATCGCTTGAACCTGGGAGGTGGAGGTTGCAGTGGGACAGGATCGCACCTTTGCACTCCAGCCTGGGTGACCGAGCAAGACTCTGTCTCAAAGAAAAATGAAAACAAAAACAAAAACTAGTATTTAATGGATTCTGTCTTCTAGGAATTTACAATTAAGGGAGAGAAGTATATTTAGAAGTGCATTTAGCATTAATATAAGGCACCATTTTTACTCAGCGAATACATTCAGTATCTATTAATACTATGGGCCAGGCCACATATTATTTGCCAGAGAAATGAAAGTAAAGAGACATGGCCCTTACTTACCCTTATTGTGCAGTGCTGTGGGGTATCACCAAAAAAGAAAGAAAACAATCAAGTAAACAAATGGTGGGTGCTAAGAAACTAACAAGATACTCCTGAAATATTGGTGGAAACTATTTTAGAAAAGGCCTGAGGAAAGTGTTGTTGGTTGAGACCAAAGGCACTTAACCCATCTGTAGAGCATTCAATGATTAGCGGTAAACAAAAGGCTTAAGGGTGGGACCTAAGGTGAAGGGTTCCATTGGAAAGAGGCAGGATTATGCAGGGCCTGATAGGCCAATTAGATAAACTCTGCTAGAGCCTAGGGCACTCCCTCCTAAGAAAGAATTCTGGGCCAGGCAGTGGCTCACGGGCAAGTGATCACCTGAGGTCAGGAGTTCGAGACCAGCCTGACCAACATGGAGAAACCCAGTCTGTACTAAAAATTCAAAATCAGCCGGGCGTGGCAGCGCATGCCTGTAATCCCAGCTACTCGGGAGGTTGAGGCAGGAGAATTGCTTGAACCCGGGAGGTGGAGGTTGTGGTAACCCTGAGATCGCACCATTGCACTCCATCCTGGGCAACAAGAGTGAAACTCCATCTTAAAAAAAAAAAAAAAGTCTACGGTTTGAATAGATATTAGGAAAGGAAGAAAGGGAAGTGGCATGAGACAGGCAGGGGAACATTTGTATTCTTCCCCACACAGCAGCCAGAATTTTACTTTCTCAACACATCTGAGAGCATCACTCCCTGGCTTAAACAGTTCAACCATTTTCCATTGCTTAGGACAAAGTTAACACTTATGTCTGAGCACTTTACATGTATTATCTCGCTTTATCCTTACTGTAGTCCTGAGGTTAGTGCAGGATTTTTTTTTTTAAGATGAAGTCTTGCCCTGTTGCCCAGGCTGGAGTGCAATGACACAATCTCGGCTCACTACAAGGTCAGCCTCCCGGGTCAAGCAGTTCTCCTGCCTCACCCTCCCAAGTAGCTGGGATTGCAGGCACGTGCCACCACACCCGGTTAATTTTTGTATTTTTAGTAGCAACAAGGTTTCACCATGTTGGTCAGGCTGGTCTCGAACTGCTGACCTCAGGTGATCTGCCCGCCTCAGCCTCCCAAAGTGCTGGGATTACAGGCTTTTAGTAGCAACAAGGTTTCACCATGTTGGTCAGGCTGGTCTCGAACTGCTGACCTCAGGTGATCTGCCCGCTTCAGCATCCCAAAGTGCTGGGACTACAGACATGAGCCACCGTGCCCGGCCCAAGTGCGGTTATTATCCTTGTTTTGTATTTGATGAAACTGAGGCAGAGAGAGGTGAAGTAACTTGCCCAAGATCGTAATTACAGTGACATGGGTAGCATTCAAACACAGAAGACTGCCTCTAGAGTTCACGTTCTCACTTAACCAAAGATTAAAATCCGTTTTGGGGGGTTTGACGCCTATCTGTCCCTGCAGTAGACCCACGCTGGCCCATGCAGTTCGTTCCCTCTCGCCAGTTGCACCCCCTCCAGGACCTGGGAGCCCAGAAACCAGCCGAGCCTTCAGCGTTTGGCCTCCTCCGCCACCAGAGGGCGTCATGGGCCGATCGCCCCTCCGCTAACCGCTCATCCCAGGAAAAAGGGGCGCACAGAGGACAGGATGCCAACAGCAAAACCGCTGCGACGTCTCTCTGCCTCCGGGCTCAGAGCAGCGGGCCGGGACCTCCCACTAACGCCTGCCGCAACCCAAGGAAGACAGAAGTCACCTCCTGGGCTGCAACATTAACCGTCATCAGCGCGCCTCCTCATCGCACACTGCGTCAACCCTGCGACGGGAGGAGGCGGAGCCCCCGCTGTCGCCCCGCCCCCACCTCACGTGACCCACACGGCGCCTCGAGGCCGGAAGCGCGCGCGCGCGCGCTCAGATGTTCCCGGCTATCTGCGAAGTTCCCGGAGACCCGATCCCGTCGCGGGCTCGCGCTTGTGCTCGCGCTAAGGCCGCTGCGCGCGCGCTCGTTGCCCAACCTGGTCCCCGCCCCTAGGCACGCCGGGCTCTCGGGGTACCACAGCCATGTGCTCGTTAGCGTCAGGCGCTACCGGTGGGTACCCTGGCCCCTCAGCACCCAGCTCGCCCGGCCCCAGGCCGTGCCGCTGTGGGGCCGATGGAAGACCCTCCGGGACACGGGTCCGGCCCGGGCGGGGTTGGGGGCTCGCAGGGAGCACGGAGAAGGTGCTGAGTGAGGGCTGCGGGTGGACGGGGCGGGGGAGAGCCTGTCCTCACTTGCTCCTCGAGCCCCCGGGCCGCACTGCTGTCCGAGGCCGATCTGATTGTTGTGCGTGTGTTAGGCGGCCGGGGCGCTGTGGAGGATGAGGAGGAGCCGCCAGAGCTGTCGGACAGCGGGGACAAGGCTGCCTGGGAGGATGAGGACGATGCTGATCTCCCCCACGACAAGCAACAGACCCCCTGCCTGTTCTGTAACAGGTTCGTCCACCTCAGCGCCTGGCCCCTGCCCTAGTGTGCCCAGGCGCGTGGGTGTGTGTGCCCAGGAACGACTTCGGGCAGGAGGCGAGCCAGAGTGGCCTGTCTTTGAATTCTGGAACACTGGTCTGGGGTGAGGGCTTGTGGAGAAGGAGCACCCTCAGTGGTAGAAAGTGGGAACCATGAACTGGAAGGCCGGTTATACTACCAGCTTTTGACTAGTAGTGCATTGAATCTGTGGTTCCCTAATCTTGTCGCTTGAAACGCTGAAAAAACAACAACAAAATGATACTGAACTCTGCACCTGAATCCTTCTAAATCAGGGATGGGGTCTAGGAATATTCTGTTTTATGAGAACAAGATCAGAAGTAACAGTGAAGTTACTAACGAGTTACTAAATGAGTAACAAATTTGGGAGCCACACTGAACTAGATAATCCCTACGGAGCCTTCCAGCTTTACCATGCTAATTATTTGACAAGTAGGGAGCTTCTCAGGTGAAACATTTCTGTTACATTTGAGCGG